ACAATTTTTTAAAATAAATAAATAAATTCATTTAAAAAATGATTGGCTAGGTGGGACATCTTTAAGGTTTTATTTTTTAACGTCTTTATTGGAGTATAATTGCTTTACAATGGTGTTAGTTTCTGCTTTATAACAAAGCGAATCAGCTATACATATGCATATATCCCCATATCTCCTCCCTCTTGCGTCTCCCTCTCACCCTCCCTACCCCACCCCCCTAGGTGGTCACAAAGCACCCAGCTGATCTCCCTGTGCTATGCGGCTGCTTCCCACTAGCTATCTATTTTACATTTGGTAGTGTATATATGTCCATGCCACTCTCTCACTTCGTCCCAGCTTACCCTTCCCCCTCCCCATGTCCTTGGGTCCATTCTCTACATCTGCGTCTTTATTCCTGTCCTGCCCCTAGGTTCTTCATAACCATTTTTTTTTAGATTCCATACATATGTGTTCGCATATGGTGTTTGTTTTTCTCTTTCTGACTTTCTTCACTCTGTATGACAGACTCTAGGTCCATCCACCTCACTACAAATAACTCAATTTTGTTTCTTTTTTATGGCTGAGTAATATTCCACTGTATATCTGTGCCACATCTTCTTTATCCATTCATCTGTCGATGGACACTTAGGTTGCTTCCGTGTCCTGGCTATTGTAAATAGAGCTGCACAGTGAACACTGTGGTACTTGACTCTTTTTGAATTATGGTTTTCTCAGGGCATATGCCCAGTTGTGGGATTGCTGGGTCGTATGATAGTTCTATTTTTAGTTTTTTAAGGAACCTCCATACTGTTCTCCATAGTGGCTGTATCAATTTACATTCCCACCAACAGTGCAAGAGGGTTCCCTTTTCTTTACATCCTCACCAACTCTTGTTATTTCACGTCTTTTTGATAATAGCCATTCTACCAGGTGTGAGGTGATATCTCATTGTTATTTTGATTTGCACTTCTCTGATGAGACTGGCAGATATAGAGAACAAACTAGTGATAACCAGTGGGGAGAGGGAAGCGGGGAGGGGCAGTATGGGGGGGGGGAAGGGGCTTATTATGGGATTATTTGAAATCATGTGTGTGAAACTTTTGAAAATTGTAAAGCGCTATAGAATTGAAAGAATCCTTCACTCAATTAAGAAAAACACATCCGATGAGGGACTGGTGGGGTCACCTGGTCCCATGCTCTGAGATCTAGCAGAGAAAAAGAGTTGCCTTAGTCACATTGTTTGTCTTCCAGGATAGGCTGTAGAGTAGGTTAAGTAACAAAAGGGGCTGCGAAGTGACTTTCCAACCAACTTCTTCTCTCAAAGCCATTCTGATGGGTGGTTCAAGTTCACCTAGGCTTGGCTATTGACCGATCTAATCTATTCCCCCTTGGGGGTCCTCGTTCATGCTCCTTCACAGAACATTCTAGACTGCCCTTCCTCCTACCTCTCTCATGAAGCCCACAGCCTGTGATTCTTTCCCTTCATTCTCTTCTCTTATGCCTTCTCTCAATCCCTGACCCGTGTCTTCAGTGTCTAGACATCAGTTCTGGTGGAGCCCTGAAAGTACAGTACGTATTGTCTTTTTTTTTTTTAAAAAGGGCACTTGCAAGCCTACAGGTAAAGGGGAGTAGAGTAGGATGGTGAGACAGTTATGCACAGATTCCTAGTCATCCAAGATTCCGAGAATGGGGTGAAAAGGCTCAGAAATCTGGGAGCTAGTGGCCAGGTCACTGCAATCCTTTTCTGTACAAAATAAGAGTAGATTATGCGGTAGAGAATTTTCTCTTCCCCACTTTCCCCGCACTGCCCAAGGGCACTCCCCCAAGGAAGGAAAAGGAAAATATAAGCGTAACACCTTATACTCTTCTATAGCTGCTGTACTTCTCCTTTCCTATATGTTATCTCACTTGATCCTCAGATTCCCAGCAAAGCCAAGGCTGGACCCCAGTTCTCCTGATTCTCGTCCTATGCTCTCTCCACGACACCACAGTGCACTTGCTTTAGCCATCAGGCAAGACTGTTTGCGAAGCAGCCCGTTCCCTTTTCTCTTTAATACAAATCATGTGCAGATCTTTGGTTTCTAAAGGATATGGCAAATTGAAAAGGAGATGGTAGCTACAAACAAAGGAAAGACCCCATTTACATCCCTCTAGAAGAGTGACTCGACGGCACAGAAGTATGTCTGCAGTGGGAGAAAAGCTTCTGCTTATTTTTGCACTGTCGATGAGCACTTCCAGACATTGGAACTCAAAACATCTCCTAGCCCCACTTGGTCGAAAGCCTCAAGTTACAAGTAAGGAAGCGCGGGTCTTCTTCGTTATTATTATGGAGCAAAGATCTGAACCTGAACTGAAACGGGACCTGCTTACACAGAAGAAATAGACTGGTGGGGGAGGGAGTTGAAAAAAATTCACTCTAATTGATTAGAATCCCAGTTTGTACTGTCAGCTCGCGACTATTCAGGAACACATTATTAAAACTGCAGGCTGGCCGGGCCTCTTGTTTTTCTTTCTTCTATCTCTTGCTCACCACAGTGTGATGACTTCAATGCTGTTGACACCCGCACTGGTTGGTAGAGAGTCGAGTGTCCAAACTTCTGGGAAACTTCATTATCTGGGACACAGTTGCCACCCTGAAAGTGTTTGGGGAAAGTGGGCAGTCAAGCACATGGCTCTCCCCAGACCAGCTCACTTTTCTCACTGGGAAAACTCTGCGGCTACTCTCACTACATGTGCTTAATGAGGAATGTCATCATCATAAAAAGGTTAAAACTTGTTTAAAAGCAGGAATCTTTTGGCAGTGGGATTTGTTTCCCACAGCTGGCACATTCATGCTTATTATGGGCATTATCCCAACTGCTCCCAGCTGCCTTTTTTGGCAATATATATTTTTTAATGTCTCTGAAAAATAGTACAGATGTTTACAAAATTTCAACACCTAAAGCACTGAGGATGCTTCATTATCAAACAACCTCGTGTCCCCAGTTATGCCAGATCAATGAGGGACCTTGTTGTACCTGAAATACAAGGCTGAGGCCTGCCCTCCCCCATATGCACCTGGCATGGCTGGGTATCTGTGCCCTCCCTCCGCATCCCACTCAGGCCTCCCTGCCTGGCCCTGAGATGGCTCTCACAGCATCATTTCTCTTCGTCACGTTATCTTGGACCGCTGCCCAATCCCTGGCCCCCACCTGCAAGGAAAGGGGTCGACCTTAGGGCTGGAACTAGGACTGGAGAGGAGTCAATGGGGTAAGGCCAGTGTATCTTCAAGGAGTGAATCCTGGGAATGAAAGTAAGTTCATTTAACTTATTAATAGCTCCAGTAAAATACCATATGGGCTACAAGGTCAAAACCAATGCCTTGAAGGAGGCTTGTGTATTATCAGTGCATTTAAGTAACCCATAATATCTTCGTCCTGCTGTTACTGAGAAACCAGTTGTCTTGAAGCAAGTTGGCTTAACGCCAAGAGGTGATTTTATGTGCATTTGATGAGGCCCAAACAGCCACCATCAGGTACAAGCATTTAAGCCCTAAGCAGGCAAGTTTCTGATGACCTTCAAAGGAGAATAAATCAATAAGCATACACCTCTAAATTTACCCATCATTGGTTAAGACAGCTTAGTTCAAGCATCTCCTCTCTGGCTTAAGATTTACACTCTTTGGTGGCTTTTTCTCTTTCAATAAGCCGCTTCTTTGGGAGAGTTATGAAGGTGGCTTCTAAAAATGAACTTTGATAATAGCTAATAGTGATGGGTGTGAGAGGTTGTTTTAATTTAAAGTATATCCTGAAAAACTGCAAGAGGTAAGTGGGAAATCCTTATTTAGCATTGTGATGTTTGAAAGTGCTTCAGAATTAAGGGAAAAGGAGCGGAGAAGTAAGAAAGTAGTTATAACTTGGAAACACTTGAAGAAACAACCCATTTAGCCGTACGTAAACCTTTTCTTCACGCACAGTGACATCTGTTGCATTGGAACTGGATATATAGATATAGGTATCAAAACAACCCAACTCCCCAATCTAAACATTATTTCCAAAAGCAAAAAGGGTTCCTTCTCTATATAGTACTGGGTCTCAAGGCTGGGATCTTTGAGAAAAGAGTCTCAGGTTATTGTTTAAACGACCTTTATTACCTGCCTCTGACATTCCCCAGGTTACAGAGCAGGAGACGACTGAGCCTCATGTTCCATGGATGAAGCAGACAGCTGCCATGACAACTGAATCAATATAGGAGAGGCATTGGGAAGTATTAGGGTGATACGCCCAGCAATGGTTACCCATGGCAAAAGATGGCAGAGCTACTCAAAATTAGGCAAGTTACCTTCAGGAAGACAACTGGATGCAAGAAAACCATACAGTTGGGGGTAATAGGCCTTCCCCACCCTCTGAGCCCCCCTCCACCTCCAGTCCCATTAAGTCCATTCTATGCCACAGACTGGTCCTAGTGTCCTGCTAGCTCCCTGCTGAAGGAGGAGGGAGGGCAAAGATGTCTGAGTTCTCTTCATTTTCTTTGTCTCTGTCCCTAAGGCAACAGGAAGCTGGAGCTGCCCCAGCCGGCCTGGCAGTGATGGCAAGCCCGTTGGCTCTACAGAGTGAGCAGTCCCTGGCAGCCCCCGGAACAGCTGCCAGTTAGACGGCCCAGAGTTCGGATAGACTTCGTTGCTTCAATTCAATGCCAAGTGTTGGACGTGTTGGATTCAGTTCCCAGAGGGCTGGAGCGTGCTGTCAGGGCCGTCTGAAGACAAGAGAGCAGAGGCAGTTTAGTGCAGTGGGTTGTGCGGGGTCGGAGGTGGGCGGTGGGGGGTGGAGAGGAGGGCGAGGCTGGCCCGGAGGGGGTAGGGTGGTGCTCCTTCCAGGGCCTTCCAGACAAGGTCTCCTGTCCTCTCAACGTTGTCCGGGCCTTAGGTGAGGAGAGCCCTGGAAGGGGAGAAGAGGAAAAGGCGGCAAGGCAGGCGGGTGCCGCGCCCAGGGATGAGCGAGCTGAGGAGGGCGCGGGCGAGCCAGCGAGCTGGGGCGGCGGCTCTAGACGCCCTCGGCGGCCCGGGTGAGGGCCGGGGCGGGCAGCCCGGCGGGGCCGAGCTGGCGGCGGTCCTCGGCGGGCGATCCGGCGGCTGTCTCAGCGTCGGCGGCGGCCGGGGCACCTCCCGGGAGCCACTCGTGCTGGGCGCAAGCCTGGGACGGCTCGTCCTTGGCCTCGACGAGCTTGCGGGAGCGGGTGTAGGCCAGGATGAGGCCTCCGGCCAGGCAGGCGTAGAAGACCATGATGAGCAGGATGTAGAGATAGGCGTCGTTGCCCTTGGCGCTGGTCACCTCGCGGCTCACGAAGGGGTCGGGCACGACCCCCATGCCCATGCTCGGGCCGGGGCCGGCGCCCAGGCCGCTGGCGTTGCCCCGGTGGTGCAGCTCGAGCAGCAGGCGGCTCAGCAGGGTCCGCAGCCGCTGGCTCTCGCTGCAGTTCATAGCTGTCGGGGAGTGACACGGCGGCTCCAGATCGCTGCTGACCTTGCCCCCGGGCCGGGCCGAGGGGATGCGGGCGAGCGGCGGCGGCTGCGCCCGGCTCCCGGGCGGGCGACGCAGTGGCTGGGGGACCCCGCCGCCCGGGCCTCCTTATCCCCTCACCCCGGCGCCTCCTCCCCTTCCCCACCACGCCCCCTCGGCCCGAGGCCGCCTCTTCCCAGGCTCCGGCTGTCTCGCCGCCCCGGGGAAAGGGGACAGCTGGTGGGGGGAGGAGAAGGGGACGAGGGAGGGGGCGAGGCCTGGAGAGGGGCGGAGGGGGCGGGGGCGCGCGGAATGCGCGGGGCCCCGGGCGGCAGAGGCTGGCAGGGCGGCTCGCCGGGGCCAAGCGTGGACCCCGGGCTGCGGAAGAGAATTCCTCCCACGTTCTGGCCACCTGCCCTGCAGGCCCAGCTTTGGGCCAGATACAGCATCTGGCCCCCACGAGACGGGCCCTGCACCGGGGTTCCATCAGCACTCACGAAACGTGGCAGCCGAGACCGCGGGTCCACATCTCAGGACGGGTGATTACTCCCATGGACAAGAACGCTGGCCTGTCTTTCCAGCCCTCACTGCTTCCCCTGGACCGAGGTGAGCATCTTATTGAGAAGATGCTCAGGACGAATTTGGTGACTGAAGTGGAGCAGGATGCCCGGGGCTTCCAAAACAGGTTTCTGATAGTATACCAGCCTCCTGGGAAGTACCCCTGCTCTGATTTCCTATCACATTTTTAGAGGGGCCTCCACATCTTAGCGTGTGAGTGTACCATCCATGATATGGCCCTGTTTCCCGCGGGCGGCAAGCCATCTTCCCAGAAATGCAACCAAGTTCTTCCATTAAAAGGAGCAGGGACGTTTAAAAGGCCCTTTGGCTACACTCCCTAGGCGTCTCGGGATCTGAAAAGTGCCAGTTCTAGAGAATATGCTTACCTCCACATGCAATTAGCCAGATACTCAGCTCTGTGCCTCTCTGGGGCTTGGGAACAGGTCTAGGCCCTGCTGGCCCATGAGGCAGCCATTTTTTTCTCAGAGGGTATCTTCCTTTAGGGGAAAACAAGTCACTAAGACAAATAAATCTATAGTATGTCAAACTGGAAACAGACTGGGATTCACAAAGGGAAAGTGCTCAAAGGACTGATTTCTGGACAGCGAGTAGGAAAAAAAATGAAGTGGTGCTGGTCGGGTCGGGTTGTATATGATTTGCCAAGTAATAGAAGGAATGAAACGAAGCTATGTGCCTTTATGTATCCCTTGCAAACCAAGGTGCCTGTTCAAGACCGTTAGGTCCAGGGACCATTCAATCTTCAGGGGCCATGGGTTAAAAAAGAGAAGGTTTTCTGATGCCTCTGCTTCAGTCACCCTTCGGCCCACTGCCCACTCCGGGCTGTAGCCTTCTGTGTGTTGGAGTGAGGTTGGCACCAAACTATATCCAGGGTCTCAAACGGAGCCTTGCTTAACAGCCTCTACATACATCTTAGAGACATTCCACATGCCCCTGACCACTGGCTCCCTCCTAATCACCTTGCCTCCATGTTCTCGCCTCAGAGGGGCTCAGGGAAGAATTGTTCAAGTGAGTTGGCATGACTAACGACAGAGGACACAGCTAGGAAATTCTCAAAGCCGTGCCAACCTAGCGACATGACTGTTAAGCTAAAACACTCCCCTGATCTGTTAAAACATGCCCAGAATCTCTGTGGTTCTTCTTGGTTTGGGGTAGTGGGAGGAAGAAGTCCCTTCACTGTAGCATAAAAACAATCTTTTAAACGTGTATTGTACTTTCAAGAGCCTTATGAGCCAGTAGATTCAAATGGTGGAGCAGCAGGTCTAGAATAATAAAGTTTGACCTTGTTCTCTGTCATAACACATGACTCTTGTCACATGGGCTGCCTCCATTCCCCCCCCCCCACTCCCTTCCCTGGAACCTTCTAGAGTCCAGCGCTTTCGGCCCAAACCACTCTCTGTAAGTAAGTTCACCAGCGGCCTCCCGGCCAAATTTAAGGGTCTCTGCTCAGTTCGCATCTTTGACCTCAAGGATGAATTTGATACCATCAACCACCCACTCCTTCCTGTCCTACCCTTGGCTCTCATGGCATTGCGTTCTCAAGTTTCTCCTCTTATCTCTCGGAGGCATCACTCTCTGTCTCTTTTGCTGGCCCCTCTTCTTTCCTCCTCCCATTAACTGTTGGAATTCCCCGAAGACTCAATCCTCAGCTCTTCTCTCTTAACATCCATTTCCTTGGAAAGTGTCTCCTTACATGCTTTCCCCTACCACCTGGCATATATTTAGCCAAATTTGAGTCTCTAGCTCTGATTCTTTCTTGGTAACATGTCTCAAATCCATCCGCTTCTTCCTTTCTGGTTTTATTGCCACAAGCTTAATCCAAGCTCTCGTTACCTCAGGTCAAATATGCAAACTGAGAGTCTCCTGGCAGATCACCCTGCCTACAACCCAGTCCACCCTGCTATGGCTGGAATAATCCTCTGCCACCACCACTTCCACCCACTCACCCCTGTGTTCAGAGACCCAGAGTTGCTCCCCACTGCTTCTTTAATGGAGCCCAGTCTTCTTTGATGGACCTGAGGTCCTCACACCAGTAGACACCACCTTCTACCTTGGCACTTGAAAAACAGCATGTTCCTCGAGTTCCTCTCCAATACTCTGTGCCTTTCACCTTCCTCAAAATACAGCCACAAAAGGAAGTCTTGCTTGATTCCCCTTATTTGTGCTCTCAGAGTCCCTACAGCGCACCCCTCTTGATAGTGCCCCAATTCAGACTGCAGCATTCAGTGCAGAAAATTTGGAAAACACAGAAAAACACCAGTAAGAAAAGTCAACAGTAGTGCACATGTGTTGCACATGGACACACACACACACACACACACACACACACACACACACAGAGGCACTGTACATCATTGTTTTGTAGCCTATTTTTCCGCTTAACAAGATACTGGGAATTTTTCCCTATGTCAATTACTATTTTTTACAACATCATTTTATTACCTATACAGTATTCCAGACTATGGATCTGTTATTATGTATTTAAATTAGCTCTTATTGTAAGATTTCTGATTAATTTCCAGGTTCTTGCTCTTAAAGATAATGTTTTAATGAACACATACAAGGCCAATTCTAATTCCATTAAAGAAATAATTACCAGAGAGAAAGCAAATTAGAAATTTACAGAAGACTGGCATAGGAAGCAAGAGATGTATAGAAGGGGGTGGAAACAGGAATGGAGACTAGTCATAAAATTTAAAAAGGCCCAACCCTCAGAAAAAAACAACAGGTGTGTGTGTGGGAGACTCTGGCTTTCTTTTCACTCAAGGAGCTGCTGGACATCCCTTCGATCCCAGCCCTGAATGGCTGAGATGCCAACCTCCTTTTCCTCCCCACACTTAATGAAAGTCCGAATCCATCAGACAAGGACTGGGTCTCATTCCTCCCCAGACTTCCAGCCCCTCTACACCTGTCCCATACCTGCCCCATAATCATCTGTTGATCTATTGTCCAGAACTCACTTATTTCCTGAACGTAATCAAGTGTGTTGACAAAGGGAAGTAATTTATAATCATGTATTTAGACTTTCAAAAAGTCTTGGAAAAGGTTCTGTTCCATGCCAAGGTTGTTTTAAAAGTACAATTGAGGCGCCATGGGCTAGGAAATGCTTTCACCATTCCTTGAGACTGTGAATGCTTCCTGCCAATAGTGCAGCTCCATGGAAGTTGGTTGAATTGAACTGAGTTGAGTTTGGCTAGTTGCCAAAGGACGGGCACAGATGGTAAGCACTGTTGGAGTCCAGGAGGTTGGCAAAGCCACAATGCGCTCTGAGGGAGGGGAGGAAAAAAGTCTTCGTGAAGCACCAACTACAGACCCAGAAAGAATCACTCATTCATTCATTCATTTATTCAACAAACACTTGTTGCATGTTACACTGTGCAAGACACTGTGCTGGGTCCTAGAGACACATCAGTGAACAAGTCGCACTGGTGAACTGTCTGTGGCTTTGATGGCTTACAGCCACTTCTTTGTGAACTGCGGACAAGCAGGGAGTGCCAGGGTCTGGAGTGGGATGAGCAGTGGGCGTGAAATCCAGCGAGAATTCTGATTTGGAGAGTTTTTTTTTTTTTTTTTTTTTTTGGGGTACGCGGGCCTCTCACCGCTGCGGCCTCTCCCGTTGCGGAGCACGGGCTCCGGACGCGCAGGCTCAGCGGCCACGGCTCACGGGCCCAGCCGCTCCGCGGCACGTGGGATCTTCCCGGACCGGGGCACGAACCCGCGTCCCCTGCATCGGCAGGCGGACTCTCAACCGCTGCGCCACCAGGGAAGCCCTGGAGAGAATTTTGACTCTGGACCCAAATACTAGAGTCCAAAGCCTTGTTCGAAAAAGGAAGATCCCTCTTTATTCAAAAGAGGGAGAAGAGTAAATGGGATAGTTCCTGGGTCCAGCTGGGGCTTCTCAGTTGCTTTATGGGAATATATGCTACATTTGGGGTGGGGGGACTGGGGTTTGATAAAGATCAATATTTATGGGTTGGAATGCACCCCAGGGGCTTCGAGTGCCTACCTTAAAGATTTCTTGGGGGCCTTGGTGGGCTTGTGCTGGGGTCACCCTACATCAGGCCACATACTGGAGCATTAAATATAGTCCCTGATCTCATTTATCAAATGCCTAGCATGTGCTGTTAATTAACCTTACAGCAACCCTATGAAGTGGGTAGGGTTGATATTAAAACTATTTAACAGGGACTTCCCTGGTGGCACAGTGGTTAAGAATCTGCCTTCCAGGTCAGGGGACATGGGTTCGAGCCCTGGCCCAGGAAGATCTCACATGCTGCGCAGCAACTAAGCCTGTGTGCCACAACTACTGAGCCCATGCGCCACAACTACTGAAGCCCATGCGCCACAACTACTGAGCCTGCGTGCCGCAACTACTGAAGCCCATGCGCCTAGAGCCCGTGCTCCGCAACAAGAGAAGCCACCACACTGAGAAGCCCGTGCACTGCATCGATGAGTAGCCCCCGCTCGCCGCAACTAGAGAAAGCCCGCGCACTGCAA